TAATTTTTTTACATTAACATTAAAGAAAAGAATATACCTTTGAATGTACAAGAGAAAATTTCAGAAAGGAATTAATTTTGAGTGAGTTCTTGCTAATTGACCATTTTACTTATTCGGCACGACATATATATATATATATATATATATATATATATATATATATATATATATATATATATATATATATATATATCGCAGACGGGCGATCTTAACTATGCAAGGCAAGCCACAAGAGGGCTAGAAACTTGGCCCCAAAAATGTTAACAAGAGTTTAACTGGACTTGTACACGTACATACATTTGTCATATCTGTTGCAAGCACATCTAGGATATTAACTTAATATAGTTTGTATTTTATTATCATTAGTTATTGCATTATTCTATTCTATATTCATCGATAAGTAGCCAGTGAAGCACATAGTATTCAATGAAGTAACCATAAGGGTGACCACCTACTTTGCATTTAGTTTGCTTATCATTTGCATCTGCGAAACTGCCAGGACTAAGACTACTTGCAACCAAGTTTAAGCCTGGCTGCCGCAACATTGGTCAGTCAGTTCTCATTGCAAGTTGCTCCGTAGATATACTTATTACCAACATGTTATCATCGAAAGTGATAGATCTAATCATGCTTCTAAACGCATTATGACCTTCACTTTGATTGCTAATATGTTCTTTGAAATATCCTTTTCTTCCGGTGTCATAAGCCATATGTATAACATACAGTAGATGTACGACGGATATTATGGGTATAAATGATACATTGAATAACATAAATATATATTTTATGAACAAGCCATACAGAACACAACAGATTCCATTCTCAAAACTTAACCAATACAGTTTATTTTTAACAAATATGCTTAATAAAGTATTCCAATACGATGGTGGTACAGTTGGTGGGTGACTAGGGCGCTCCATAGAGGCTTGATGGAGTGCTCACTGACACACCGCCTCCTCCTCCTCCGACTTTGATACCTCCACTGCCAAAGGCACCACCAATGCCACTACCGAAACCTCCACCCAAACCTCCGCCGAAACCACCACCCAACCCTCCGCCGAAACCACCACCAAGATCACCGCCAAAATCACCTCCCAAACCACCACCAAAACCACCGCCAACGACCTGGCCACCACCATGAGCGGCAGAGCTCAGGGCAGACTGGAGATCTTCTCCTGTGGGCAAAGTTGGGTTGTCCCCATCGGCATAGTTGACGAAGTACACTTCAGGAGTTTGTTGCTCAGGAGCTGGAACGTGGACGATTTTCTGGTCTACTTCAGGCCTCTTGTTGAGGACATAAACAACGTTCTTCTGTTGTGGTGGTGGTACGATAATTGGTTCCACTCCAAGGCCGCTTTCTGGGGTGCGGATGAAAATAATATTGTGTTCAACTTTTGGTGGAGGAATGTAAGGTTTTGGGCCTACGAGTGGAGCCACAGGTGGAGCTTTGTATACAAATAAATTGCGAGTGACCAGAGGAGTTACACAGCTTCCGTCAACATGAAGGATTTGTCCTCCACTGCAGCCGCCACCGTAGCCACCGCCGACGCCGCCTCCGAACCCACCGCCAGCCCCACCGACGAATCCCCCGTCATCTCCACCGACGAACCCGCCGCCAATTGACCCACCACCTGAAAGGAGCGAATCATCTCCGAAACCACCACCACCAGCGGCGAACGCTGGACCAGATGGGGTAGGCAGGCTGTAGCCTAAAGAACCAGCGTGAGCGGCAGCCACCAGCACGGAGAACAAGATCTGAAGGCATTAATAACGTGTTAATCAGTTTAATATTTGCTTTTACTTTGACAAATTATGCAACTCATATAGACTAAGAAGATACAAGTTCCTCAATGATCCTATGAGCAAAAAACAAAAAATATTCGGTAATTTTGTATATCATTTCAAGAAAATACCTTAGTATTAATTACTATTCTTGCGTTCTTTGATTTTCATGATCATTGTTTTCAATAAAAATTCTTTAGATATATGATTATTTCAGTCTTGATAAGGTATAAATATTTTTTTTAAGGAAAGACACACCTCATACCTCTATAGGCTTGGAATACTTTTTATCAAAATAGTAGAAAATTTACCTAATCACGGTTTAGTTGGAAAGAATAAATCTATTATAGTATCCAGCTGCATTATATTAGGCTAAATCAGTTTAGGTTGTTGAGTTTGTTTATGAAAAGTTTAAAAAATGCTTATTTTCATTCTGATGAATATATCTCATTTATTTTTTTTTTAATTTGGATTAAATTAATTTAATCTGGATTCTTTTCTTGATTACTATCGGATTTGGATGGTTGGGACCACTTCCTTATCGCTGGATATTAGCTATTACAAGGTTACTCTTTATGATGTTCATAACCCCTTCAGGCCTTGTAATCTTTGCCTTAGATGTACAGCAACCAAGACCATGGTAACCGAATCGGTCTGCCAATTCAATGACACAGGTACACTTGTGTTCGACTGGGATACGGGGTGGCAAGGTAAAAAGTAAGCTAACGCGAATGATTAGATGGTCGAGACGACAGCCAACAATCACGGAATACCCCGCATGATCTCTCACTCCCAGGAAGCGAGTTTCGTCCTTCCCCTACACTTAAAAAGTATTGTTGAGATTATATTCTTCTCTATAGGGCTCAGTGCAAATGTTTGCCAGTATTAAGAATTGGGGAAATTGGTTTTAATGATGAGTCTGTTAAAGTTTCTTAGTGCCTAGCTAGCTTCATTAACTTTGGGTCATGAACCGCAGCATCGTCATTGAGGGGGTGATAGACTCACTGCTACAACTTAACCGGGGTGTGTAGCTTCTTCCCACTGCCCGTTTTCTAAATAAAAGATAAATGTCAACTTCCAGACACTCGTATTCGTTGAGATCTGAGTTGTAATATGAGACAGAACATCTTAGGTAATATGTTAACCTGACAAGGCGTCTTAGTCGTCTAGACTGCAGAGTCGTTATTCCATCGTCAATTCATTCAATTCACTGTTGAAAACCGGCACAATGGCTTAGCTCCTAGAGGGGCTCTGAGCAGGTTGCTATCAGTTAGGGCAATGGTTGGTTCATTAGCTTAGATGATTTCGTTTTTATATGGATTCAATAGGTCTGTTGTGGTATGAACAATATAATATTTATGATTTGATTCAAATAAGCAGAGTAATCAGACTTGAGTTTTGATCATAGGAAATATTTTGGTTGTACTTTCAAAGATGGATGGTATGGGATGTTGCGTTTCGGTTAGTCACTAGGTTTTGTTGTCTGTATTCTGAAACACAACATGGCATCAAGTGATACGAATAGTACATTTTCTTCTGGTTTCCCTGCCTTAGTGGCACACTTCACATATCGAATGTATCCCACTATAACATCGGAAATAATTCAACATATTCATCCTCACTTGCACTGACGGTATCTTTTTAGAAGGTCAGAGTCATCAAGATCGAGTAACCCAAACCGCGACTTTCCCACCCGACTTTCAGAGTGAAAGCAGATTATCTGGTTTAAGCGTCGATGTTCACTTTATATACATAACATACAGAAGCTTGTCTTTTCGTGTTTATACACTAAGTTTACTTTATTTCTTAATTTATTAATTAAACTATCCTTGACGTTAGACATGGTGGATTGAAGCCATAATGACCTTCGTGTAGTCGATAAACCTTAAATATAATAAACTATGTAATCGATAATTTGCTGTTTTGTAAGCTATAACTATTAAAAAATCTATTAAAAACTAATTTGAAGAAAACTATAACACAGGAAGTTTTGCGAATGTCACTGTTAGGAAAGAGATGGCTAGAACCAAATGGAAGAGTTTCCTAACAAGCACTACATAGTCACTGTGTTATGGAACACTTATCACTGAGGTGGTGTGCAGAGCTGGCTGCCACCAGGCACGACTCACCAGGAGCTTCATGGTGAAGTGTAATGTCGACCCAAGTCGTCCGCTGTCTTATATACCTGCCTCTCACTCTTGCCTCGTTGCCTTCCTTCATAACACACCCTCCAGTCTCGTCATTTCGTACCCCTCGAGGGAGGTGTCATGATACTGGCAAGGGGATCTTAATCTAAAGAAGTGAACCAGTACTTTCCTGGATGAAACCTGATTGCCTCCTATTCCCCGTAGACTAGTTAAACGCTTCCCCTGACTATCAATAGTCACATTATTCCTATTATATTCCTGAGCTGCAACAGCTCCATGTATTTTAAACAAATCTCATTAACTATTTGTCTTTATAAAGTATTTGAAAGAATGATAGTAAACTATATTGTAGAATCGGATACCAACTCTCACCTCATCTTTGTGGTTTTAAGAAAGGGAAAAATGCGTGCAGAATAATGTTGCCACTTTTTTTCAATGCACACGCTTCTACTAGTTTTTCCACATTTCTTGTTCTAAAATCCGCATTTGATAGAGCCAACAGACTTGTTATTATACATGACCCAGCCAAGGGGAAAATTGGTGGTAACTTATTATAGAATGTTTTCTGTCCACCACGATTATACAAGTGAGACTAAGGAAATGTCCCTATAATAATGATAATATAATTATTATTATTATTATTATTATTATTATTATTATTATTATTATTATTATTATTATTATTATTATTATTATTATTATTATTATTATTATTACATGATACAGACGTAGCGAACATCACTGGCTTACTGTACAGAAAGTTCCTACCTGGTTATTAGAAGCTTTCGGGCGACTACGGCTAATCTTGTCTCCCTAGAAGCGACCCACAACAGTCGGCTAACACTAAGACACCTACTTAATGCTAGGTAAACACGAACAGCAGGCATTAGGAAACTAGCCCAACGTTTCACCCGTGTCGGGAGTCGATCCTGGGCTCCTCAGTGTGTGAAGTGAAGACGTTATCAACCAAGTCATGCTCTGTAATATCTTAATGCTCTTCTAGATGCTTTACATTCCGTATCTAAACCTTCAGCTATGTGAATAACTAGGCTGTAATGGACACTTGTCAGTGCTCAATAATAACCCGCATGGGAACAGAAACTTAGAAGATTAATTGATTGGTATATTTCGACCCCCAGCTGGGATCCTCTTCAGCAGATACACAAGTGAAAGGAGAACATGAATTTATAGGAAGGTCGCACCTCTCACCGTGCAGGGAATCGTGATCCACATAACAGGGGTTAAGAAAATGATTTATTTTTAATGAAGTTCAGGTTATATGTAATCGGCTAGGCCTTATATCACCATTTAAGACTAATAATTTGACAAACAAACAACATGCTCCACTCATTTGTTTGCAGAACTTAAATCTTTACAGATATCATGGTGTAGACGTACCCTTCATTAAACCCATAAAAACCATAACTAAATAAGAAATGCAAAGATAGGCTCAATGCTGTCAGTGGTGTTGAAAATGATTTACCGTACATAGTCTATATTAGATCATTAATTGATTATGCTGCGCCCATGTTAATGTTGCTAGTAGAATATTATCTCCCACCCTGGGAGCTAACATAGAAGGAAACCCTCAGAATTATTCTTGGTTATCCTAAAATGACCAAGATTCTTAATATAAGGAAGGAGGAGCTTGAGAGTCCTAGTAACAGTGAAAGGATAATTAAGATTAACACTGTAATTGTTATTAGAATATTAAGTAACGATCTAGACAGTGTTACCATAAATCATGATATATGTCTAGAAGTAAACAAATCTAAATAGGCTGTTAAAACAATAACCTGCACGAACTATATCTCTAGACAATAAGAGTTTTTTTCCCCCTCCATCGGAGTTATTAATTTCATAATACATATTTAACCACCTTCCTTAAATCACATGCAAAGACAATGCTTAAGAAGAAATTTCTTGCAATAATGTATAACAAATTACATACTCTTGTGGCTCTAAGCAGGAGTCCACTGGCAGGTCTGCATCTACTCTTGTGGCTCTAAGCAGGAGTCCACTGGCAGGTCTGCATCTACTCTTGTGGCTCTAAGCAGGAGTCCACTGGCAGGTCTGCATCTGCTCTTGTGGTTCTAAACAGGAGACCACTGGCAGGTCTGCATCTGCTCTTGTGGCTCTAAGCAGGAGTCCACTGGCAGGTCTGCATCTGCTCTTGTGGCTCTAAGCAGGAGTCCACTGGCAGGTCTGCATCTGCTCTTGTGGCTCTAAACAGGAGTCCACTGGCAGGTCTGCATCTGCTCTTGTGGCTCTAAGCAGGAGTCCACTGGCAGGTCTGCATCTGCTCTTGTGGCTCTAAGCAGGAGTCCACTGGCAGGTCTGCATCTGCTCTTGTGGCTCTAAACAGGAGTCCACTGGCAGGTCTGCATCTGCTCTTGTGGCTCTAAGCAGGAGTCCACTGGCAGGTCTGCATCTACTCTTGTGGCTCTAAGCAGGAGTCCACTGGCAGGTCTGCATCTGCTCTTGTGGCTCTAAGCAGGAGTCCACTGGCAGGTCTGCATCTGCTCTTGTGGCTCTAAGCAGGAGTCCACTGGCAGGTCTGCATCTGCTCTTGTGGCTCTAAACAGGAGTCCACTGGCAGGTCTGCATCTGCTCTTGTGGCTCTAAGCAGGAGTCCACTGGCAGGTCTGCATCTACTCTTGTGGCTCTAAGCAGGAGTCCACTGGCAGGTCTGCATCTGCTCTTGTGGCTCTAAGCAGGAGTCCACTGGCAGGTCTGCATTGCTCTTGTGGCTCTAAGCAAAAGTCCACTGGCAGGTCTGCATCTACTCTTGTGGCTCTAAGCAGGAGTCCACTGACAGGTCTGCATCTGCTCTTGTGGCTCTAAGCAAAAGTCCACTGGCAGGTCTGCATCTACTCTTGTGGCTCTAAGCAGGAGTCCACTGGCAGGTCTGCATCTGCTCTTGTGGCTCTAAGCAAAAGTCCACTGGCAGGTCTGCATCTACTCTTGTGGCTCTAAGCAGGAGTCCACTGACAGGTCTGCATCTGCTCTTGTGGCTCTAAGCAGGAGTCCACTGGCAGGTCTGCATCTGCTCTTGTGGCTCTAAGCAGGAGTCCACTGGCAGGTCTGCATCTGCTCTTGTGGCTCTAAGCAGGAGTAAACTGGCAGGTCTGCATCTGCTCTTGTGGCTCTAAGCAGGAGTCCATTGGCAGGTCTGCATCTGCTCTTGTGGCTTTAAACAGGAGTCCACTGGCAGGTCTGCATCTGCTCTTGTGGCTCTAAGCAGGAGTCCACTGGCAGGTCTGCATCTGCTCTTGTGGCTCTAAGCACGAGTCCACTGGCAGGTCTGCATCTACTCTTGTGGCTCTAAACAGGAGTCCACTGGCAGGTCTGCATCTGCTCTTGTGGCTCTAAGCAGGAGTCCACTGGCAGGTCTGCATCTGCTCTTGTGGCTCTAAGCAGGAGTCCACTGGCAGGTCTGCATCTGCTCTTGTGGCTCTAAGCAGGAGTCCACTGGAGGTCTGCATCTGCTCTTGTGGCTCTAAGCAGGAGTCCACTGACAGGTCTGCATCTGCTCTTGTGGCTCTAAGCAGGAGTCCACTGGCAGGTCTGCATCTGCTCTTGTGGCTCTAAGCAGGAGTCCACTGGCAGGTCTGCATCTGCTCTTGTGGCTCTAAGCAGGAGTAAACTGGCAGGTCTGCATCTGCTCTTGTGGCTTTAAACAGGAGTCCACTGGCAGGTCTGCATCTGCTCTTGTGGCTCTAAGCAGGAGTCCACTGGCAGGTCTGCATCTGCTCTTGTGGCTCTAAGCACGAGTCCACTGGCAGGTCTGCATCTACTCTTGTGGCTCTAAACAGGAGTCCACTGGCAGGTCTGCATCTGCTCTTGTGGCTCTAAGCAGGAGTCCACTGGCAGGTCTGCATCTGCTCTTGTGGCTCTAAGCAGGAGTCCACTGGCAGGTCTGCATCTGCTCTTGTGGCTCTAAGCAGGAGTCCACTGGCAGGTCTGCATCTACTCTTGTGGCTCTAAACAGGAGTCCACTGGCAGGTCTGCATCTGCTCTTGTGGCTCTAAGTAGGAGTCCACTGGCAGGTCTGCATCTGCTCTTGTGACTCTAAGCAAGAGTCCACTGACAAGTCTGCATCTGCTCTTGTGGCTCTAAGCAGGAGTCCACTGACAAGTCTGCATCTGCTCTTGTGGCTCTAAGCAGGAGTCCACTGGCAGGTCTGCATCTGCTCTTGTGGCTCTAAGCAGGAGTCCACTGACAAGCCTGCATCTGCTCTTGTGGCTCTAAGCAGGAGTCCACTGACAAGTCTGCATCTGCTCTTGTGGCTCTAAGCAGGAGTCCACTGGCAGGTCTGCATTTACTCTTGTGGCTCTAAAGAGGAGTCCACTGGCAGGTCTGCATCTGCTCTTGTGGATCTAAGCAGGAGTCCACTGGCAGGTCTGCATCTACTATTGTGGCTCTAAACAGGAGTCCACTGGCAGGTCTGCATCTGCTCTTGTGGCTCTAAGTAGGAGTCCACTGGCAGGTCTGCATCTGCTCTTGTGGCTCTAAGCAGGAGTCCACTGACAAGTCTGCATCTGCTCTTGTGGCTCTAAGCAGGAGTCCACTGACAAGTCTGCATCTGCTCTTGTGGCTCTAAGCAGGAGTCCACTGACAAGTCTGCATCTGCTCTTGTGGCTCTAAGCGGGAGTCCATTGGCAGGTCTGCATTTACTCTTGTGGCTTTAAGCAGGAGTCCACTGGCAGGTCTGCATCTGCTCTTGTGGCTCTAAGCAGGAGTCCACTGGCAAGTCTGCATCTGCTCTTGTGGCTCTAAGCAGGAGTCCACTGACAAGTCTGCATCTGCTCTTGTGGCTCTAAGCAGGAGTCCACTGACAAGCCTGCATCTGCTCTTGTGGCTCTAAGCAGGAGTCCACTGGCAGGTCTGCATTTACTCTTGGGGCTCTAAACAGGAGTCCACTGGCAGGTCTTCATCTGCTCTTGTGGCTCTAAGCAGGAGTCCACTGGCAAGTCTGCATCTGCTCTTGTGGCTCTAAGCAGGAGTAAACTGGTAGGTCTGCATCTGCTCTTGTGGCTCTAAGCAGGAGTCCGCTGGCAGGTCTGCATCTGCTCTTGTGGCTCTAAGCAGGAGTCCACTGGC